ATCGGTTAGAATCTAAGCTAATTTTCCGCGTAATTATAATTTGTAACGTTGTCAGAACTTTTTCATATACCTATCGCCTGACAATGGAAATGAAATTTTATTATTGCAAATATCCTTAACGCGAAATAAAGTTTCACAAAAGCAAGTTGAAATTGAAATCTCGAAGATCTAATCATCGATCTAATAATATCACATTCTTCAATCACATAAATTCTTCAAACGATCTTAAATCATCTCAAACACCTAACCCCAATCTACTACGTTTTCTGTCGAAGAAAGGACTCGTCCTGTAAGATAGATACATTGGTGAACCTTGCAACACGACGCGTTATTAATGCTATTGAAAGCTGTACAAGCTCTCGTACTTCCGTACATTCGCGATTCGTGATATCGCAACGTGATACGTTCCACGATACAGGCACATTTGATCTACAATACGCAAACAAACGTATATGACTTTCCTAGTATGCCCCTTGGCAGATACGCACCGCTCGCTCGCGTATACGCGCCATAACATGCACTATGCACTATTATATTCGATGCAAATGGGTAGAGTTTGATATTGCAGAGGTTTATGTATCCGTGTGCAATTAGTATGGCGAATATCGCGTACACTCACGTACCATGTGCATTACCAACTGGATAAGCAAACTGTGTGAGTCACATGATGCACCAAATGATATTTGATATTGCTAAGTGAACTATCATAGTGTTCGACGCTTTGGTTATTGAGTTATTCGAATAACGAATAAGCAAAAAGCGTTTCACGTTTCCTCGTACAATATATTTAATAATATATCTTCGTTCATTTAAGTATATTTTTATTATAAACGATAACTGTCTGAGATTTTCTATCTTTTAAGCTTAAAGTTAAATCATGGCTGGTAACAAATGTGCTGATAATGTACATAATACGTGATTATTTCATGCGAGAATTATATCTTATAATTTGTTCGTGCTTGAAATTTACAAAGGCGATAGTAAAGGCTACTTTGAAGTAATATTATTGGACGTGCAACGAGATGTAGGCTGAGGTTGTTCCTTCTTTGTGTACGTAGGTGGTTATTCCTTGAGTGGTGACAGGAACCCTCTCAAGAATCTGATTATTGCAGCCTTGGTGTTCGCCAAGGTTTCGTAAAGAAAAGCCGAGGCGAATACTTCAAAACTTCGGAACCCGTAAATGAGACTCGTCGTTGATGGTCGATGTGACTTTTATTAAAATTGCTCCACGACTATTGGCTCCTTTCATATTTCCCTCTTGAACAATTTTCACGTTTGATTTGGTCTCGTTCGCCGCTTCATCTCTATTCACGTCATTTCCCAAACGTAATTAACACCAATAATATTCTGTGCTATTCCGAAATTAAGAGTTTTATCGAATTGGTACGCGCGTAATTTTTTATTTTTCCGAGTGTAGATTAAAATAACTACAACGAGCGAGATATCCATAAAAAATATTTATAAGAAATAACATATTTATCTACATATTTCATGATGTTTATGACATCAAATTAAGCATAGAATGTTATACAAATCTTTTGCTGCTACAACTTAATTTTTGTAATCGTTGAATTTCTCTAATATTTTTCCAACGTAAATAGCGGTATAAATCATCGTTGATGGCGATTTTTTCAAATTTCTTTCGACATTGGGTTCCATGTAATGCAAACATTAAAGGAATGTGCAACGTTAGTAGAAGCGGTAAGACATGGTCAGACGTCCGGCAGCTGATAATTTACCGACATGAACTACTGTCGAGACTCTTCAAGCACAGAAACTTTGATAGGAATACTGGCGCCAGCTAGGTAGCCAAGGAAGGAAACCTAGAGAAAATTATCGATTTTTTCTTACGAAGAAAATTATTTTCTCACCAAAGGTAACGGAAGCGTAAGATTTTATCGTAGTACGGTAAGGACTATGATTTCTTCTATAAAGACACGTGTATTAAACAATGTTGCACATCAACACAAAATTAATGTGTTATTAATTAACGCAAGACGTCATTTAAAAGGAATATATAAATTACAATAAATTAAACTTTATCTGTGAAAATGACAAGAAACGAGCGTTTGTATAAATGAGTCGTTCACAGATCAAAGTGATTTCTGGTTAACTGCAGTTTTCAACATTCCTTAAATTTTACTGCCAAAACACTTGATCGATGCTTATCCTATACAATTCCATAGATCTTCTCTATCCTTTGTTTCGCAGAGTTAAACAAAATAGGCGGCTGAAATACGGAAAACCGAAGTTTTATACGTAGTAGAAAAATAGTTGGTTGGCTGTGCTCGTCTCACACAGACGTTAAGGGTTTAGTACACCAAACTATTATTCACTGCACGATTTCACGTATTGCTAAACACCACTGCGTTACACGACAAATGGCAATTTACTATTCACAAGTAACAGTGAAACACTAGTCAGATATATCGCTATATCTCGACCTTCGTTCGTAATTAGAGGCGAGCTTTCAGCAGAATTTCAGCTACGCACAACAACGGTCCGCTATAAATCTAGGGAAATACACTGCCAGAGAATTTCGAACATAAAGCGAATCAGGCTAAAGGTAAAGTTTCAACGAACGACGCGACGTGGCCAAGATAAGAGCGGAAACACTCGTTACGAGATCGCTATGTAAAGCCAGCTACTTCGTACAAACTATTAGATGCTTAATAGTCGTTAACGCTCGGCACCGCGGATAGCATTGTAGCAAGGAGCTTTATTCCCGTCTACTCGTCATCGTCAGACCTCGCGATTTACCTCTGCTCGCAAGTGGAATTTCGTTCAAGTGGAATTACCATAAACTGATTAGATCGCTCTAACGAACGATTACGACATGCGCAATCCGACATTCTGTATATTTAGTTTGACTACGTGTGAAAGTTTCGGAATAGATCGCGTATAAAGTAAGGGGAACGCAGGATCGGAAAGTTTAAGAAAACTCGTCCCCAAGGATGGAATATCGAATATCAGAATTTAATTTGATGGAATGATTGTTTCTTGGAATATCGATTAGGAGGAAATTTAGGGCTTCCTGTAAGAAAAATTAAAAGCAGCTATAGGAAATGAGGGAAATCGTTGCAGATTTATTCGGAAGATCTTGTTTTACGTCGTGTTTGTTGGTCGAATCGTTATATTCACTTCGAAATTATCATGTGTTTGAAATGTAAACAAAAATGGACTGAAAAATACGTTCGGAGGGAAATCAGTTTTCTTACGAGAAATGTTATGTTTTTAATACAAGGATTCAAAATTATTAAAAAATTATTTAACTTTGTACAGTAGGTCGAAATATTCGTAATCTGCTTCAATTCATTACAGGAACCAAAACAATAGACGAAATGATCTGTTCTTGTCGTTAATAACCATACACGGTTGACGTGCAATTCTAAAATGACGTTGACAATATATCGAATTTCAAAGCTGCTCTTGTACGAAAGATAAAAAATACGACTCATATTTTTCAATCACGATATTCATATGATATATGTATATGCATAAATCTTCAGTTAATTTCACCTATAAATTTCATCTATTAATTCACAGCAAACTTTTGGTCCAACTGCATTTACACGTTGTAGAAAATTATAATGGATAATCTATGCAGATGACTATCTAAATAGAAGAAAGCAGTGATTTTGACACATACTGCATTTTTCATCTTTATCTAGGCGTTCTATTCTCCAACGTTCCCGATTTTCGTACGAGATCCGTCAAATCCGTCACAAATAAAAATGTATCCTGTTTATTTCTTCGAACGAAGGTGGTTATTTCCATATTTCTAAGCTTCGCTATATTATCGAACCCGTGCACGATCCATTTGTCTACTTCTTTCATTTTTCCTATTTGAACCAAATGATGGATAATAGCAGGATGGATGACTTCCATCTGAAACGTCGTTTCTCTTGCTATTTTTCGCTCATCTTTTTTCCTAACATTTCTTAAAACGTTATCATCGATGACAACAGCTTGCGATCTTTTTCTCCATTAATTTTCTGTAATGAAAACAAAAAGTCCACGATCTTGAATTTTTCAAGTCAGCGTCCAACTCTTCTAACTAACATTCTGCAAATCCTAATGACTCTCGTGAAAAAACATCGAATCAAAGACGTTGCATAACAGTGGAAAAGTTTCAAAGATCGTCGTTAGTAACAGTATGTATATTAATATATTATAATCGAAGATATAGATCGTAGGTTATTCGACGTCCATTTATAAATGTATCCAGGATTCTGTTTCAGCGGATAAGGGTATCGGGAATAAACGTTAGGCGTGTTCCTCTGTAAATACAAAAATAAATTGAGATTGCTTAGTACAACAGAGCCCCACGTATCTTTATGGAAATTCTCGGGCACGAGCCTTGCGTTTAATATTGTAGAAATACCGCGTATCAAATTCTGTTGTTTCCAGTGAGCAAAACAGTTCTTCAATTTATTTCCCTGCAGGTTACTGTTTTACTTTGACACTTGAACAAATTTCCATCGTCTTATTACCAAGGACAATGTATATCTCGGTTGTCGAAACAAATTACAGTCCGTTTAAGCAACGAATACTTAAGTTGGTAATGAAGTTAAAGTCACATCCCGTGTTGCTACCGGTATATTTCTGTTTCTCGTTCTTCGAAATTACTTTAAAAACCCATTTTCTAGGGTGGAACGAGGATTCCTTCGAAATTCCTTATTTCTCTGTAAAGTAACTCCGTAAAGTAACGATAAACGTTTGGCTGGAAGGCGATGTAATTTGCTTGCAAAAATAGATTCAACAATGGAAATTAGACAACGATTCTACGAAATTGGGATATCTCCTCGAAGGGAATAGAACGTTCCATAAGACGGTGGTGACGTTCGTATGCGAAGCAAGTTGATATCAAACGATCTTAACTATCCCCGGAAGCATTTGCGTTAGAAGAAGAAATGAACGTCGAAGAATAAATTACAGTGTGAAAATTGATATCTTAATTTGAACGATCTAAAGTTATATTTTCGCCGCGTTTTATTGGCTCTGTACAAATCTAAGGAATGGAATATTTCTTAAGATATTCGTAGAAAATCGTAGAAAATCGGAGAAAAAGATCGACTCGTTAAGAGGAAATACCTTTTCTGTCGCGATTGACTGTTCTTCTAAAACAATAAGATACGATGGAAATATAACGATGTGTAACTATAGACAAGAGGAAAAACTGAATGATTTCATCGAATGTGTTATCTCTTTATTGGGTGTGTGAGCGAGGACAATTCGAAATTGAATATTTAGAAAGCTACGAAAAATTGTACAACAAAAGATCAAAGTTTAAAGAGATCTGACATAGATAAAACAAGATTATGAACTTTTCCCGACAACACGTTTTGATAAACGTACGATGCAACGAGATACAGCCGCTGTCTTTAATGATCGTATCAAGCATCAAATTGCTCTGAATTAGCTCGATCATTTTACGACTGTATCCATCTGGTATCCATCTTGAGATTTATTTTGTCACTTTGATCGCAGTTTCGCTGGCATCTGTTCGATACTATGTCTGTATTATAAGCGGAAGTTTACGAAAACATGCGAGTTCCGGAACATGAAAGCGAAACGAATGTTACCCGAACGATCTGATCGAACCTCCTGACGTTAATAGAGATATTAACCATAATTAGGTTCGTGCTTCGTTACACTACAGGAAGTTGCTGTAACTACTTTGGTAAAAGAGACACTGGACACGCTTTCGTTGAAAGTTTGATTTTCATCGGCCGATAGTATCCATTAGTGGGTACAAAAGGATGCGCTACAAGTAATGGAAGTAACGTAAATTGGCTGTGTAGTAATTATTCGTCCGTAAGAAGGGAAGTATTGGAAACTGCGTGGATGATAGAATAAGAAATTCCAGTTAGCTTATACTTTTAATTAGATAGCCATTTATCGAAAATGTTAAATATAATTGGTGGATTGATATTTTAGATGGATATTTTAGATGATATATGAAAAGAATTTTTAAATATCTTGGTAAAGTAGTCCTTCGCTAAAAATGTTCACTAAAATGGATAAATTAATCTTCGAAGTGCTATTTTATTTATGAAATTTTACTATAATAGAGTAAGTATTACGAAATTGATCACAGGATTTTTAATATATCGTGGTAAAATTTTTGTATAGATAGTATCTACGTATATGTGGAAATATGATAAATATTTTCCAATTCTATCCAACTCTTCTAATAAAATCTTGAAGTTCTAAGTTAATTCTCTTATCGTATTCAGAAAGAAGTTGAAAAGATTTCGTCTCGAGTATATATTGACTAGCAATATCCTAAAAAAACTTGTTCAATGAAAATATTTGAAATTCAGAAAATATTACACGTTAGAATATTAAAGTACTCTTCCGATCTTAGAATATGTTGAATCATTCTCGGCTGTTAAGAAAATAGTACAAGAACGTTTTATTATATCTTAATATATTCAAGCAGCTCTCGAATATTCATGGATCAACTCTCAAAGCATTTAATAAACCTTTGATAAACTATTAAACCGCAAAAAGTTTGAACTTTGAACAAGATTAAATTTATTAAATATGACTTTTTATAGATCTATTAATTGAAAAGTTGTCTACGAAAAAATTCTATAAGATAAAATTGCATCGGAAGTTTTAGTTCTATACAATTTTTTTAATATTAGCAACGTTCGAATTGGTAACTAACTATAAAAGAACCAATATCGAACTAATAGTTGTTTAACCAACTTTGTCCTTTTTATTTTATCTTCTTTTGTACAAAATAAATAGGAACTTCATAACAATTTAACTATTTGACTAGAAAATACACTTGGCGTATATATATTTCCCATAGGCCTATGTGCCCTATTTTTCGAAAAGTTTCTCGATTAATAAACTAGTAAAAATCATATTCAGCCGAATTAATCTTCCTGAAAGTTCAGATCGTTCTGATAAATTCACAAAATATTCCCAAGCGAAATTCGTCTCGTTCAAATTTATTTTACACGACGTAACATCGCGAGATAACTTTATTCACAAGAACAAAGAAATCGAATTCTTTCAGATACGAATCGATATACACATTGAAAATCCGTCATGTCGTGGGGCAAGCGTGTTTTCAAGGTTTCACAAAGCGAATGAAAACTTGGATGCAGATGCGAGCTTTCCGCATTTTGTGTTTCCACGTATCAACGTTCTTTGTTAAAAGAATGTCCACGCTTCGAAGACTTCATAAACGCAATCTTATTTCCCGAAATGTCACCGAACTTGTCGAACTTGTAGAGTTCCATCGAGACAACGTCGTAGACATCCGATAAGAAACCACGTCTTTCGCGTGGTTATCCGTATAACGCGGTTATTACATAAATTCTTGCCTAGTTTACGCGTAAAATATTTTAACTATTTCGTAGAAATTCGAATATAAATTCTTCATAAATTCATCGTACTCCTTGGTACAAGTACCACTGTGTTCCATGATCCCGACTCTTCTTATTTTCTTGCTAATTAAATATTCCTATTAAAATAATAATATTGAAATGAAATAATCAGTCAATAAATAATAAGATGATGTACAGTGTACAAGTACCACTGTGTTCCATGATCCTAACTCTTTTTATTTTCCTGCTAATTAAATATTGCTATTAAAATAATAATATTGAAATGAAATAATCAATCAATAAATAATAAGATGATGTATAGTGTACAAGTACCACTGTGTTCCATGATCCCGACTCTTCTTATTTTCTTGCTAATTAAATATTCTTACTAAAATAGTAAAATTGAAATGAAATAATCAGTCAATAAATAGTAAGATGATGTACAATGAGGAGAAATGTATGGCGCGCTTCATTGTGACAGGTTCTTCTAACCTACCTTACATTATTCGTTAATTTTTCAAAGTTGCTTTGATCAAAAGATCAGAAATAATTATACGATTATACGTTTGGACATTACTTCGTCCTTTTCTTATATACATTTAATGAATTTCAATTCGGTCTTGTTCGTTTTCTCTCCGAAGGTTAAATAGTTTCGTAACTTTCCGTAATAATTAAGCTACCTCTGATCACGATATTACCTTTTTTAATTTATCGAAGATGAAAGCTACTGTTATAATAGAGTATCTTTTTGCAAGCTAAAAGCCTTTGACGGAGCACCACCTTGTTCCTTATACACCTTATCCTAGTATATAAGGATATCCTTGGTTACGCGAGAATTGACTCTTTTTCTAGCACTTTGTGCGTGTAAGATGTATAATTCACGGAAGAACAACCTCAAAGAGAATCTTAGATGCGAGATAATCGTTTTAAATTTTAAATAACAGTCTTGTTATTCAACATTACATATTCCCCTTAATAAAGATCTTACTGTGCTTCCTCCTTTTGCTTCCTTACTTTCCATTTCAGTATTATAATTTTCTATTGTTCCGTAATGAATAGGCAAAGAACGTATTATGCTAGTGTTATATTTATCTAGGTATTATTTACTTTATCTGGTAAATTAAAATATACAATGTGCATGTAATAAATATAGTACAAAAATACAGCATTCTTTGGAGACTGCTTTCTTTAACGTATCGATACTTCTACCTTATAGAACGTAGGGGCTAAAAATAGAAATAAAGTGTGCGTAAAATGTACACAACAATTTGTTTAGAATTTAACAACGCCGTTATTTAAAATATCTGAGACACGATATGGATAAATGCACGTATGTAATCGAAGTATATGCATCAGGTCGTCCGAAAAGTGTCTTTCGTTTTATAAGGAAATAATGGACGCATTTTCCGTTTTATATTATTTTATCGAATTACGTATGATCCATTTTGTTCTGTCAAACTAAAGATCACAACGTTCGATAGTTTAGGTTTCATGTTTGTATAGAAATGCGTTGTTGTAAAAGACGTGTTGTAAAAGAAACAGACTTTCCGGACAACCTAATATGTATAAGTAAAAGTCAAATACTCATTCAACAACTGTTTCCTTTAATTTATTAAAAAAATTCCACTTTCGTCGTAGCTACAGATCGTTTAAACGTTCGAAATAGAAACGCGATACACCTAAATTCTACATGGAAGGTTTAGACGAAGTTTCAAGAGATCGACAAAAGTAATAAACATCTTCGTCTATACAGCGTCTGGAAATTAGATCAAATTAAAATGCAAATTGAATCTTTTGTACTTCTGTATGACTAAATAACGAGTACGTAGTAAGTTTAAAAGAAAGTCTACTAACCTAGATTTTCCAATAGTAGCGAGACATGTGTAGATATAGCTTTAACTAATTCAGAAATAAACTGTCTCAGGAAAACCATGAATAACGACAGATACGAGCGTTTACACAAAGCGCATTTGAATTTCATATCAGATCGGTGCCGCTGAATTGTATCGAAAATTTCTTAACATTCAGATCGCTTGTTCTTTTCCCTTGAAAACGCGAGTGCTCAAGTAACGCTCTTATTTTGAGATTGCGATTTGCATGATTCGTGAATATTAGTTTGCATAGAGATTTGAATTAAAAGGACAGAAAAGAATCTTTCCTTTGTTGGAAGACTTAGAAAAGTTAGACAATATATTTGGGGGAATATTAATTATTTAAAATATAAATGAATCATGAACTACATATATATATAGCGTGTATAAAAAAAATTGGACAGAAACTTTGGGAGCGCATAGCACTGGTTAGAAGCAACAAAAATGTCTCGACATGGGTTCAAAAGCCACTAGCTTTCGAGTTACAAGGTATTTTATCAGTAAGAACATTACCATTGCGGTGTATGTTCAATACGTCCTCCGGCATTTCTCTTATCTCTTGGCAGCAGTTTCCTCATCCAACGAAGCAACTGTTTTATTATACGCTCTACTTTTATGCATTAAACGTCTCGTAATTCCGAAACTGATGCTTTACTCAGATTTTCTTGCTTGTTTTTACGAGTACTAATTCCTTCCCAACTTTTTTTGTACACCCTGTGTATTATGAAATCAAGTATTTATAAATACTAAATATCATTAGACATAGTGTCATAGTCTTGAAATGCTTTTCTGTTTATCCATGAAAACATAAGGATTCGCGCGATTCTCCTCGCAATATTTCGAGAAAACAACTTGCTGCTCCGTGAACCAACCAACCTGCATCACGTGCATCGACCATCG